AAGAAAGAAAGAAAGAAAGAAAGAAAGAAAGAAAGAAAGAAAGAAAGAAAGAAAGAAAGAAAGAAAGAAAGAAAGAAAAACTAGAAAAGGAAAACATTAAGTAATGAACTGAGGTCCCAGAGAAGCAAGACAAGAATTCAGGAACAGATATATTTGATGATAAAACCCCATCTGTAGTCATCCTACTACACTAGTTTCCATACAGACTTTCCTATCTCTATATCTTTTCCTGATAATATTTCCCCAACCAAGTACAGCATGCCTGCAGTATTTGCTTCCCTAGGACCAAATCATCATGCAGGGTCTTACTAACTCCACTCTTCTCCACGAAATATGTCCCTACACTGCAATTGTCAGCAATTTCTCTGTCTTGTAATGGTTATGGGATTGTTTTGCCCCTACTGGACAATTAATGAATACTAGTAATACTAATTCATAATTAGGGAATGTGTTGTTTTCCTCATATGCAGTCCCTGACTATCCTCCTGAATTATGTTTCGAGATTAAGGCTGAAATCAAAGTGTATGCAGGATTGCAGCAGGTAATATACAACTGTGAAATGGACTGAGTACTAAGGAATAAGGCTACTCTGGAGTATGTGGCAATGAGAAGTAAATGAGCTGGTCACCACTAACTTCAGCCCATTGACTTTCTTCACAGCATAAATCACCACTTTACATGTTACATGTGTGAATGGTTATTGATTCTAATTACAAGATCCCTAGAAACAACATTTTTTTTTCTGTTTGTAGCTGTATCACCTCACAATAGTCAATAAATGTATGTTGCAGGAAAAAAATAATAGAGAAATAAATACTACAGAATATGGATGTGAGTCAAGTGATCCAAGATTCTTTAGGGGAGGAGCATGGGGGAGAAGAGGGAAGGAGGGTGGGATTGGGAGGAGATGAGGGAGGGGGCCTCATCTTTTGACTCTTCAAGAGAAGCAAGAAATTATTTTATGGGCCATCTCTCAATTTGTAAATATTAATAGATATTTAGAAAAATAGGAAAACAGTTTTAGGAATGGATAAAGACAATACATTTGCAGATTAAGATTAAGTATCTAATTTGTATTTGCATCCTGTGTTCCAGGGAGATCTTAGACTCTTCCTCTCGAGTTATTTCGAACAGCGTTTTTTAAAGTTTAGACAGTTTGCAAAGCAGATGATGATGGTGATGAGGGTGGCCCTAGCACTCACACCTAGGGAACAGTGAGATCCAGCTCCTTATTATTAATATTCTACTCCAGTTCCTTCTTCAGCCACAGCTTCTCATCTGAAATGACCACCTGGACCTCACATGACCATTCCAGAGCCAAGACTCTAAAGCTAAATCTCTTCTCCTTCCAGCTTCTAAGGGCTGAGAAATGTCATTCCCATGTGCCCCAGTAATAAAGGGGAAAGTCAGTGAGAAGAAAATAGATTGGATTTCAAAGGGGTGACAGAAAAAGAGTGGAGTTTCAAACTATATTTCCACAGTTGATAAACAAGGGCTCCCAATGGCAATTCTGTTTTCCTTTTTACTGATTTTGGTATTTTTAGATTATACAGTCTGAATTTTTCTTTCAGATGACCTTTCAATGTTCTCTGTTACTGTGTTTTATCTTTTCTACATTAAAATTATTAAGTATAAATGTTAAAATATTTCTTGAATACTTAGAGATTCTTAAAAATAAAAAAGGCACATTTTAAAAACTAGAGTGGTTTTACAAACTGTTCTTAGCAGCAAGGATAGTTATGTAGGGCTGAGGATACTTTTGAGGTCCTTTAAAGAAAATATACTATGCAGAAGCATTTCTAGTGTACTTTATGGTAGCTGAGCCATTGTGAGTCAATCATCAACTTTAGAAGACACAAAAGGAAATGAGATGTCTTCATGTTCCCTTTCTCTGTATGGTCCAATGAGTACAGCCTTGAAATGTCCATAGAAAAAAATCAACAAGCATCAGAGGAATTCAACATTTCAAATTATTATAAGCCCCAAAGAGTAAAATGCCTGCTAGCCCTCTACACTCAGCATTTAGGGTATTATTTTAATGATTATACAGATGAATTCACTATGTAGTTTTTCAATAATGGCATTAATTTTGTATGCAAGCAGATTTTATTTTTTTAAGCAGGCTTCACAGTGATTTAAATTAAACGTAACAGTGAGCAAAAAAATCTTTAGCCAAAGCTACTTTTTCAAAATTCAGGTTTTGAATAGTGCTATGAATCCCTACAGATTAAAAACATAACTTTCTATTCACCTATTCTGCTATGCTCAAGGAAAATAGAATATGGAGCAATGTGGTGGGGAAGATGACAAGATAAATTCTCTCAAAGGCATGTAGGTAAAGTGGTAAAAGAGATTCCCTGGACACAGGAAAGAAAACCTAAACCATGGGGACAGACCAAGAGATCTGACTTGTGGCTTACCCTGGGAAGGTTACTTAACGTATTTAAACCCCAACTACTCGTGTGGAAAAAAGAGAACCAGAATGCTTTTATAATTAATATGGGATTTTAAATAAATGTATAGTTACTGTGATAGACATTGAAATTAGGAAGAAATTACTCATTCAGCATACTACTGCTCAGTAGAAAGATACCTAGACCACATGGATGTTACTGAAGGGGGCTGCCAAGGACAAGCGCCTGCAGACAATGCCTGCAGTACCTCACTCTACCAAAGTAGAGTAAATGAGAGAATTATACAATGCAGGATAATATAAAGTCTCTTGAATTTTAAAGTGTACTAAGTATTGTAAGTGAATATGAACATATGCAGTGTGGTGGTTTGAATGAAAATGGCTCCTAGAGGCTCATAGACTGGCTCTGTAAGGAGGTGTGGTCTTGTTGAGTAGGTGTGGCCTTGCTGGAGGAAGTGTGTCACTGGGGGTGGACTTTGAAGTTTCAAATGCTCAAGCCAGGCCCCATGTCAGTACCTGCTTCCTCCTAATCCAGATGTAGAACTCTTGGCTCCTTCTCCAGCACCATGTTGGCCTGAGTGCTACCATGCTTCACACTAAAACAGTTCACACTAAAACTCTAAGCCAGCCCCGATTAAATGTTTTCTTTATTACGATTTGCCATGCATGGCCTCCCTCTACGGCGATGGAAATGCTAACTAAGACATATATTAAATGTATAATAATATGCATGGAAAGGACAAATACCAAGTTGAGGGGTGGGTTCCTAGTGGAGAGTGCAATACGGTGAGATCAGAGAAAGAAGTCTCACTAACTCTTCCCTTTATTACTGGTGAATAGCTTCACCGCTATTCAATATGGTTTTCATTCTCCTCAGATCTGGCTAATAGGTATGTAGAGTTCACTGTATCATTTTCTATACATTTGAAAAAAATATATAATAGAAAAATCCAATAGGAATCAAGAAATTGTCCTGGAAAGGAAAGAACTGCTTTAGGCATACCCAAGCCTGGGGTGAAGACGAGGAAAAACAGAGCACATGAGAGCAGGGGATGATGATGGATAAAGAAATAAAAAATAGATCGCAGTGGGGGCAACAGCTCCTATCTGACTTCGAAATAAGTTAATAACATTTAACTTCCAAAACCTGCAGACTTCGGACTTATCAGATGTGAAGATGCTGCAAGTGGCTCCTATTAGCCTAGAAATCAGGTTTCTTTACAGTGTGTATAGTATCAAAAGCATCATAGGTGGAAAATACTTACTACAACCCCACTCTTGGTGGTAGTTTCTCTGTATGTGAAGTTGCAAATCGCCCAGGCTAAATAATATGTGGACATGAGAGGGGTCTGTGAAAAGTGATCTGTTACCCATCCATCTTCCTCAAACACAGATGTTTCCACTGGCATATTGGATAGAGACAGATAGGTTGCTTGATGTTTGATGCTGATTTTGAAAGTGGCCTTGTAGATTGGCTCATCAAAACATGGGAACGCCTTCCTGGCGTGTATAGGTGAAAACTGAGTGACACCAAGGAATCTGGAAAAAAAAAAGAAAGAAAGAAGGAGAAAATGACATTCCAATTACATGCGATGCTTCAATTAAAATAATGGCCCTATTGCATACCTCAGATAGCATGTTTTGATAAATCTGAAAATACACATTTTACTAAACCATGCCTTCATTCCTGAGTAACATAAAAGTACAGTTCATATATAATATACTGACCCCAAAATAAAAGTTCTTCAGGGAAGTTTTTGTCTCGATTAATGTAAACTCTCTGAACCCAGAGCAGTCCTTGTTGGATGAAACACTACACTCTACAGAGAAACAACTCACAGGCACATTGGCAAACATTGAGAAATAATGGCTCTTTTATTGTGTATATCACATTCCTCCCTGAAGCCTAGGGCATCCAACATATAGAGATAATGAAACTGAAATCTAAACACTGTCCTCAAATGGCTGGGAACCCTCATGGACCTTCACTGGGAAATATCTATACCCTCGCATGAAATCACACAATCTACCTATGCTAACTAAAATAAATGATTGTGAAATCTATTAAATCTTGGTCTGAATTCTGGCTCCAAAAATCTCTTTTAGCCACACTTACTTTGATAATGCTAAACCTTCTCCCAAATAAGAAATACTCAAGTCTAAGTCCACAAATATTATAAAGCTCCCACAGGGATAAAAGGGGTGTAAAGCTCCCATCGGGGTAAACAGCTGCAGCAGGCAGGCGAGGAGCAACCACCGCTGATTCACAAGGCCTTCATCCTTTCTTAGCACCGTAATTTACATTTACACCTCACAGTGCAGAGAGTGACCCATTTTAGAAAAAAAAAAAAAAAAGGCTCACCTTACACATGGCTTCAGTGTTTTTGTTAACTGGTTGTGTGTTTTGTCTTGTTTTTGAGTTTACATTACCCACATTACTATAGTGTGATAGAACTTGAGGTACGTGATATGGGGAGGCCATATTTATACAACTTTTATTATGGAATATTATTGGGATGTTCTGTTTTATTGCTAGTTGTTAATCTTGGTATTTCTAAATTAGAAATTATATTTAATCATAGATATATGCACATTGGAACAAATAGGGTATACGTAGTGCTAGGGTATAGCCATTACTTCAGGCATTCACTGAGGATCTTAGAATCTGTTCCCCATATGTAATAGGAAAGTACTATGATACACACACACACACACATACACACATACATAAAATAAATATATAAAGACTATGCAATGTATAAACTAAATAAGTTCGCATACATCAAATAATACGTTCCCTGATAAGCTGCATTTCACTAAAACTAATTAGAAGAGGATTCTGTTCCCTTTCGTTGCCCACAGTGACAAATGAAGACACTCACGCACTTTAAGGACACTCTTATAATTAAGAAATAATTTATAATAAAAAGCTGAAGTTTTCATCTATAAAATTTGCTATACGGCAAGTCAGCATTAGACCCTGCAAAAGACATTAGTAAATTCTCAAGTTGTTTCTTTCGAAGCCCCTTTCCTCCATGAGTAGTTCACCACCATTCCCCTATCTATCGCTCGGGGCCCATGTGGCCAGTAGTGCATGATACACTGTCATTCAGAACTTAAGCTTGGCTTTACGATTAATTCTCAGCATAAGACACAGGAGGATGTAAGTCACTGGTAAGTCACTGCAAATAGACACGCATTTTGAATCTGATCTGCTACCCAATCTTTATAAGTCGCCATGTGTAACAGATCTTATTGGCTATCTCTGGATAAACCATGAGGTTTAAATATTCACACCATTTTTTAAAGTATGGAGTCTACAACTATTACCATTTATACATTTTTAAGTTTCATTTTTAAAATAAAGCAAAAAGAAGACTTTTTAAAAAATCGATTGTAAGGGGAGGGTTGAGAACATCTTTCAAACAGCACTTGCTCCTATTTTCCAGACCTGGTTAAGTCACTTAACTGCCTGAACTTATTTTTTCATTAGTAAAAAGAAAATAATGTTTTCTTGGCCCTTCTCATGGAACTGCCAAAATGATAAAATGTAATAATATGTGGGAAAGAGGTTCTAGTTATAAATCTTTATACAAACAAAAGATTAAAGATGGAGGAAATATTAGAAACAAATTATCCCACTCCTATATACTTCTAAAATAAAAATGTACACCCAGTAAGGTTTGTCCAAAGACACACTAGAAATTGGCCCAAAACTGGGCCCAGAACACACATGTTCTTGATCCAAATAAAAACTAAATTCATTCTAAAAAGCAATAAAGTTTATTTTTAGCAATAACTAATAAAAATGGTTTAACTCAATCCTAGGTAATAATGAATATTCTGTAAAGATAGATGGGAATCATGGTATGTTTTTGGTTATCTTCTGCTGATAGTAATACAGTTTAGCATAATGAGATGTCAGCACCTTTATGTTAAAATGTGCTCATTCACAGTTTCGTCTTCCCATGACTTTATACCACATAATGCATAAGAATCTTATCTTTCAACTTATTAATTAAAAAAAAAAAACAAAACTACGGGGCTTAGTATTTCTCCTCAGGGATAGTTAGACAATATCATGGAATTGCATATATGAGGACACACATTTCCTTTAAACATCCACATATGTGAACACTTCTGTTTCAATCTTTGAATAAATGGATATATGTTTTATGTGAAGCTTCTCACTGTATTAGACGCTGGAATTATTTTTAGCCATTTGTTCTTAAAGTCTTTGTAATCAAATTGAACGCGTGCACGCGCACACACAGAAACTGAGAGAGAGAACTGACAATAGCAGAAAAACATCTCTGTAAGAGTTTATTATCAAAGACATTATACTTAAAAATGTAGATGTCTTAAAAATAGAAGATGTCTTTGACGTAAGTAAATTAAAGGTAGAAATATATTAGAGGAAAGAACCTAAATACATCTGAGTCCATAAGAAATTAATAAGCCAGATATTTATACATAGGAAACACATTATGCAGACTCTTTTGGCCTTACTTGGTAAATACTGATAGGGATGGTAGCACTTTAAGTCAATGTTGAAAAAAAGCTATCAAGATCATCCAGTGCATTTTTCTGTAATTAATGTTCTTAATGAATTCACACATGCAATTTATATCTATGCAAAGAGGGCTACCATATATTCTGATAATGTCTAAATGAGGAAATACCAATTTCACAGTCTGGCACCTGAGAATGATCGCAATTGAATTTTAATTCGGTATTTAGAAAAATCAAAAGAGGTCTCTTGGTAAAGAGAAGCAGCCAAACTGGGCTGCATTTAAAGTCTTTTCTAAGTTCAAGATCTTAAAACTAGACAATTGGAAATAAAATATTCCCCAAATATGGTGCATTTCCTTTATTTAAAAAAAAAAGCATTAAATTACACTACCACTAAATAGTTGTTGCAAGTTCTTCAATGTATTTGCTCCTCTCAATCAATTCTGTTTTGAGTGATCAAAGTTTGGAAGAAAATATAAATATATATGCTTTTTTTCCTAAAAGGAGTGCAAACCCTAGCAATAAATCTAAACATAAGCCTGAACAGTTATTTCACCAAAAGCTAAGACAAATAAGGAAAACATATGACGAAGTTGTATTTGCTCAGGGGTATTTTTCAGCCTTCATCTTACTGGCATTTTAGGCTGGCTAATCATTCATCATGGGGGATGTGAAGCGGTCTGCCTCGACGCTAGACCAGCAGAATCTTCTGTCCCCGGTTCAGATGACCAAAACTCTCTCTGAACATTTTAACTTTCCTCTGGAGTAAAGGTGCCTCCGAAACTCAAAGGCTTTCTGGACAAGGAAGCTTAAGACTTGTCCTGAGAATGTGGATGGTGGTTTGAAGATCAGAGGTGAATGGAGCGTGAGCACACTATAATGAACACAGAAAAGCCCTTTTAGAAAGAGTTTGGACACACATGCAGAGCTGCTACCCTGAGACTGTTTTGCAGGCTCTGGCCCTGTCCAGGCCCAGTGTCTACTCTCACTGCCTCACACTGATAACTCTCTTCTCTAACAGACAGGACCAGTCTCAGGCCGACGCCCCCAACAGAGAGCAGTCCCTGTAGGACTTTAGGAGCATAATTTCATCTCCACTGCATACGTTTCATGATCATCTTCAGTTGGGGAAAAGTAGATTTCTTCCTAGTTTTCTGTCACTTAAAACTTCAAAGAGGCTTTTAGAAAAAGTGGTTTAGAGAAGAAAATCACGATTTTGGTGCCTGAGTTAATTTGAGGTGAGTTTGAGGTATTGGCAGGATGCTAAGTATGAGAAAGAGAGGAAATTAACATATGGAAACACTTTGAAAAAACAGCATGAATAGGAGACATACATACACATCATACACATACATACATACACAAACATGCACTCACACAAAAACAGCAAAAAGAAAAACAAAACAGAATGTAGCAGGGACAAGTGTTTTATTGTCTGTTTTCCTCTTCCTCTCTTCTTTTTAAAAGATGTCATTTTTATCTTTCAATGAATGTGCTTATTAGCATAAAAAATTCCACTCCCCAAAGTGATATTCTGAAAGTGTCATTCCAAGAATGTCACTTTAGCATAACTAGAAAAAATTGTGAGCAACATGCATGTATTTTAATTCTCTTCTATCCACAACAAATTATTTGATTTTTTTTTTCCAACAATTTGTCTATCTGACATTTTGGTTGAGCTAAGAGGGAAGGCTCAACTCTCTGCATTGCCTCCGAAGGGCACAAAGAATTGATTTCTTCTTATTTCTGCGGAAGTTCACCAGGCACGTTACTTGTGTCAAGTCATTATGATAACATTTAGCAGAAGTAATCCATTAACGCTGGCTGATATTGCCAACAAATTACGGTATGTGATACAAAACAGTCTCTGCTCCATTATTTTCAGTTTGCCTTTTCCATAAAGGCAAAATATGCAGAGAAGGTAACCATTTGCATAACACTTAGTGTGAAGACTGATTCATGACTTTTCAATTGGAATCCAACAAAATCAAGAGAACCCCTCCACATGGCAGGATGCGTTTACAGGG